TGGAGGTGCTCTGTCATTTGGCTGATTGATTGATTAGGCTGTAGGAAGGAGGCGTAGGAGGATGACATAGAGAACGGGCGATTTTCTTTTTCTTTTCCTTTCTTACTTTGTCTCAAAATGTTTAGCCGTTTCGCAACTGCACTCTGCTTCTGTTTTAGTTGCGCGCCTATTTAGTTTGATGATCCCCAGAACACTAATGGCAATGGTTGTAGGGATTATCTCCTCTCTTCTTTCTCTCTCTCTCTCTCTCTCTCTTTCTCTCTCTCTCTCTCTCTCTCACCAATTGCAAATAGTAACCGTTTTCCTGACTACGAGCAGGTTACTTCTATTTTACCACCTTTTGCTCTTCTGTTGACGACTTAGCAGGTCAGAGAGATAAGCTAACAGGCAGCTAACAGTGAGCTCTGCGTTGCAACTATGTGTTGATGATCAACCCACCGGTGCATTGTACGGCAACAGCAGAAGCAGCAGCAATACTAACAAGTGCAGCATTTGAGTAGTCGCCTAAGAATGCAAAGCTTCCCAAAGCTGTTACTCTGCACCAAAGTTGCGTGTTTGCAACGTGTGATCAGCTGGGCAGTGGTGGTGGTGGCGAAAGTTGATCACTCAATCACTCCGGCACACACGTTTCTCGCTTTTCCTTCTTCTTTTAGTTTTCTTGTGTAAAAGCTCTTATCAGAGAAAGAGAGATGAGAAGCAGCCAGCGAAGTCGAAGCGGCAGCAGCAGCAACCACTACGGCGGCAAGCGCCTCAACGCGGACATTGTCCGCTTGGAGAGCTCGCCGCTGTACAGTCAGGCTTTAGAGAGCAAAGGTCATCATGGGGATCCCCACCTTCTTATTCGTATGTAGTAGAATGCTAATTTTTGGTTTTTGTTCTTGTTGCTTAAATCTGCACTAACACCCTCCCAAACTTCTAACATTCCAAAACTTTTCCTTTCCCACCGCTAACAGCTCAGTTTACCGTAGAGACGAAGCGGGCGATGGGCCCGGTGCACAACCGCTCCTGCACCGACCTCCTCTGCCTCCTCCTCTTCATCGTCTTCCTCCTCGTCTGGGGGTACATGATACTCTTCTTCTACCGGAACGTGGACATTCAGCGTACGCTCAACCCATCCGACATCTACGGCAACGTCTGCGGCCAGGGCAAGTTCAGGTAAGGAGGGTTCAGTTTTGTACCGGAGATAGTTTAAGAACTCATGTTTTGATACTCTTTTTTCTTGGCAGAGATCGCAAGTACCTCGCCTTCTTCAACATCTTCGCCTGTGCCACCTCCTTCGAAGCCTCGATCATCGACGGGTGCAAGACGCCGCAGGTGTGCGTCGAGCACTGTCCCAACATTACCTTCAGCATCAATGCTTTCAGCAACCTCGACGTGAAGGCGCAGGAGGCCCAGAATGCCATCTGCCTCTACGACGTTCGCCCCACGGCGGACACGGTAAAAACTTCAAAAAATTTTTACTTGTAGGTTCTTTTTAATTATATTTCTATTTTTTCTAACTATCAGATTGAACGGCTGGTGAATGAGGGCAAATGTGCTCGCTACTACTTCAACAGCGAACCGGTGGGTGGCCGCTGTCTGCCCTCGGTGCTGAAGATCATGGGCGAAACGGGCGTCCTCATCAATGAGATCACCCACGGCAACATGACCGACGCCTCCGGCAACTTCATCTCCGCCGGTGAGGTGCTCCAGAACAATGAGTAAGAAGACTTGAATGCAATTGCTTTGGTTCTAAATTCTAACTTTCTAACTAACTTTGCACACAGAATCGTGGCCACGCTGATGAAGGCAATGGCGATGGGCTCGAAGATTGCCAGCGACATTGCCAAGACCTGGAAGTGGATGTTGGTGTAAGTTTTGTTAAATTTTCAGCTGTCAAACCTCAGCTGACAAACTCTTTTTTTTGTAGTGGCCTTTTCGCCGTGATGGTGCTCGCCTTTCTCTGGATCTACCTAATGCAGTTTCTTGCCTCGTACATGGTCTGGCTCTCCATCCTCGCCATCTTCGCCCTGAACGGCCTCGGCCTCTGGTACTCCCTCACCGAATACGTCCGCCTCACCACGCCCCTCAACCACACTCTCGCCCTCTCCACAAACCAGACTGCTAATGTGATGCTGCAAAGCGCTGTCTTTTCGCGCAGTTTGGGAGAGGAAGTGGAAATAGCCACTGACCGCACTCTGAAGTACATTCGCGCCAACTCCCTCAACAGCATCAGTTCTGAGGGTGGTGGTTCAGGCCAACCTTCAGGTCGTTTGAGAATGGGTAACACGCTCCAGTTTGACCTGAACCTCGGGGAGAAGCTGGCCGACGAGCTGAACGTCTACCGGAGCAATCCGACCACTTGGCTGGTGGCCTCGGGCGTGCTGGGCGTGACGCTGGTCATCAGTTCGCTGGTGATGCTCTGCCTCTGTCGGCGCATCAAGCTGGCCATTGCCGTCATTGAGGAGGCCAGTCTGTGAGTATTAATTCTGATGATCAAGTTTTGATTTTTTGTTAACTTTGAAATTTGAATTTTGTTTCTTTCAGAGCCGTAAACGCCATGAAGTCGACGCTCTTCTTCCCCGTTGTCCCCTACATCCTCAAGGTGGGCGTGCTCGCCCTGTGGCTGGGCGCCGTGGTGATCATCGCCGCCGGTTCGCATCCGCAGTACCGCTTTCCCAACAACACCCTTTGCGTCCCGGAAACGCTGAGTGTAAGTGGAATAAAAGCTTTTCCTAAAAAATTCAACTTTAATTTTTGTGATTTTCTAGCCCGAGCACCAGGCTCACCTGGGCCAGCAGCCCAATCAGCGAGACGAAATTCACGCCATTGATGACGGCAATTGCACTTTTGTGCGGCCTTTTACGCGCAACTACGTCTACGCGGCCCACGCCTTTAACCTCTTTGGCATCATCTGGATGCTCTTTTTCCTCATGGGCATCTGTGAGTTAGAGTCTTAAAGTCTTTTTTTAAGGATTAATTAAACTAAATTTCATTTCTTCGGCAGGCTACATGACCCTCTCCGGCGCCTTCGCCTCCTACTACTGGTCCTTCAACAAGGAGGAGGTGCCCTTCTTCGCCATTGCCGGCGCCTTCTACCGCTGTGTCCGTTTTCACCTCGGCTCGGTTGCATTTGGCTCGCTGCTGGTCGCAGTGGTCCGCTTCATTCGCGTCATCCTCGAGTACGTCGACAAGAAGTGCAAGAAGTACGCGGACAATGCGGTGGTGAAGGTGATCAGCTGCCTGCTCCGCTGTTGCTTCTGGTGCCTGGAGAACTTCATCAAGTTCATCAACAAGAACGCCTTCATCATGATTGCCATCTACGGGAAGGCCTTCTGCGCCTCGGCAAAGGACGCCTTTTTTCTCTTGCTCGACAACGGCATTCGAGCGGTGGTCCTCAACGCCCTCTCCGACTTTTTGCTCTTTCTCTCTAAGCTGGCAGTGACTGGCATCGTTAGCGCCGGGGCTTTCTTCGTTCTGACCAACCAGGTGCCGGAGCTGGTCACTTTTGAGGGGTTGAACTTTTACTGGGCGCCCTTGGCGGTAAGTTTGTTGTTAGTAAATTGAGTTTTAGATTTTTTACTTATGTTTTGGTTTTTCCTTTCCACAGCTGTTTGTCATTCTCAGCTACATCGTCACTTCGACCTTCTTCAATGTCTACGATGTGGCCATTGAGACGATCTTTCTCTGCTACTGTGAGCACTTTTTTGTCCAAACTTTTGTTGTCAAGTTTTGAAGAGTTCTAACTTTGTTTTTATTTTTACCAACCAGTGGAAGACAGCAAAATCAACGACGGCTCTCCTGAGCGACCCTACTACATGACCAAGAGTCTGGCCAAAGTATTTAACAAGCGAAATCGCGAACAATAATTTAACTTAATTTGCTGCTGACAAGAATCTCGCTACCACCACCATTTCCGCACACCAAACACACACTTTGCTGCTGCTTTGTCGCTGCACGCACTACACACTTACAACACCGCCACCACTTTATTATTCACCAACTTACAAATCTTTTCCAACTATTTTCTCTCCAAAGTTAATACCTCCTCTTTTTCCTTCTTTTACTAAGTCCATTACACAACTTGTGATCTATTCTTTTTCAACTGTTCTCCTCTTCTTTTTTGTTGCTTTTGATATGTTCACCGATGCCATTTCAATTTCACCGACGAGCACCACCACTTTCAGCACTTGAGCTTAGCTGCTGCTGCTGCCATTGCTGCTGCACAAAACTTCAGACCTGCACGCACAGCGATCTCGAGCTTTCCTTCTCCTTCTTCTGTTCTTTTTTACTAATCTTTCCAAACCTATTTTCTATTATCTTTTCCTGTTCTCTTTTTTCTTTTTTTTCCAATTCTCTCTCTTCGCAGACTCTCGACCAGGCCTCCTCCCTGACCAGCTCTCTTTTCCTCCTTGCCTTCAGCACTCCGTTCTCTTCCACAAAGTCACTCTCCAAGTCCATTACCATGTCTTCCATTTACCCACTTCCGGTGGAGGTCAAGTGATCGCCACGCTCAATCCAGTCATTCAGTCATCAACAGCAGCAGCAGCAGTGAAACTTTGTGGTCTACGCTTACGTGAAAAAGTGCGCTCATTCCCTTGTGATCACACATCCCTTTGCTCGCTCAATCCTCCTCCTCTTCCTACACTTCATCTTGTCTCTCTTTTCCAGCCATAATTCCAGCAAATCAGCCAATTCGCTTTTGCATTAAAAAATAAAAATAATTCCACACACAGTGTGTTTTTAAACGGAGGTTTTCTTTTTTTTCTCTAAATGTAATCTGGCTAAATGGAATTCCATAGCAAGCGTTCAGCAGCAGAAGCCGCCACCGTTATCTACTATCTGAAAGGACAGTGTGTGTTATGATTCGGATGCTGATGCTGTCGTTTGGCTGTGTTTTGCTGTGTTTGCCTCAAACTAGAAACAGGTGTGTCCTTCAACAGTAGGGAAGTTTGCGATGTGATTAGATCTTTTCTTCTTCTTCTTCAAGCTGATCACCACTATCACCAAATTGTGTGAAGATGGACGACGGGCAAAAAACCACTGGAGCCGTGGATGGGCGATCTTCAGCAGACGACGGCAGCGGCGGTTTTGGCGGCGGCATCGGCTACAAGCGAAGCGGCTGCTTCGAGGTTTTTGCCAAGGCGAGCTGGTACAGGGTGCACGCCGAACTGTACGGCGACCGCCTCGAGCTGACGCTCAATGAGCCGCTGGAGCGCTTCGCTGGTCCTGGCAGCATCGGCGGCAACGGTGAAGATCACCTCGAGGTGCCGCCGCCCGAAGTCGTCCTGATGCAGCAGGATCTGTCGCTTGGCAACAACAACAACAACAACGGCACCAGCAGCCGCCGTCGCCTGGTGGCCATTCGCCGAAAGCGACCCGGCGATGGCCTGGGCATCAGCATCAAGGGCGGCCGAGAGAATCGCATGCCCATTCTCATCTCGAAGATCTTCCGCGGCCTGGCGGCGGACGCCACCGGGCAGCTCTTCGTCGGCGACGCCATCATCGCCGTCAATGAGGTCAGCCTGCGCGAGGCGACGCACGAGCAGGCGGTGGAAGCGCTGAAGAACGCTGGCGAGAGTGTCGTCCTTGAAGGTAAGATACCACAACTTTTTATTAAAAGTAGAAAGGTTGAGAAAATAGAGCCGTTCTTTTGTTATTATTTAGGCATTACCCATGTTTTCCTAGCTTCATTTCTTTTCTTACTTTCAACTGGTATAACTCTAACCTTACTTACACTTAACCACTCTTTTGCATGATCCTCAAACAATTACCCCTCACACCTCTTCTTTTTGGGCACCTTCTTCTAACTTTGCATCCCTGGTAATCTTCCTCCTCCTCCTCCTCTCTGAACTTAATTTCTCTAATCTTTCACCTCGCATGATTCTCCTCTCTGTTTTGTTTGTTTGTTTCACTTTTATAATTTCTATCACCACCACAACCATCACCACCCTTGAAACACCTAACTTGATCTGACCACTAAGTGTGCACCTCTTATTCGCTTTTAGTGAGGTACCTGCCCGAGGTGGTGCCGTACTTTCGGAAGGCGGCCGTCCTCGCCGAGATTGGCTGGCAGGTGGCAGACGACGGCTGCGAGGAGGGCGTCAACGCCGAGGGCCACAACAATCACCACAGTCATCAGCTCGAAGACTCTAGAAAAGTGCAAACTACTTTGGTCGACTCTCACCAGGAGCAACGACCACAGAGCAGCTCCTCTCATGGAAGCTCCTCAGGCGGCGGCGGGCCTAGTGACACCAAGTCCATTCCACTGACCGGCGCCTTTGTGCGGCGGCTCTTTCTCAGCAAAAGCAGAAGCAGTTCGTCTTTGCAGCATCAGCAGCACCCTCATGCTCATCGACGAAACCACTCGATTGCCAGCTCCAGAGACCACGAAGGCTTGCCGGAAAACCATCTTCTTCAAGATGAGGAAGAGGAGGTGGTCATTGTCATTCAGTCGCCCTCACTTCGCCGGGCGGCAATTCTGCGCTTTGAGGGCGAGGCAAAGGCGAGCTCCTGGTTCGCCGCCCTCCACCGAACGGTCAGCCAGCTGAACGGGCTGATCATGAAAGCGATCAACGGCGGCGAACCGGGTCAGCAACAGAGAACACGGTCGCGAACCCTGAACGACGTCTTTGACGGCTGCGAGGTGGTCAGCATGGGCTGGTTCCTCGAGAATACAAAGGCAGGTGGAGGAGGCAGAGGTAATGGCCACCACCACCGACCATCGGCGGCCAGCGCCCTATCGTCGCTTTTTACAGCGGTAAGAGCACTTTTTCAAAACTTAATTTTAGTAAATCTAATCATTAATTTTTCCTTTATTTTGTAGCCTAATGAGTCGACGTCCTCTTCAGCATCTTCGTCTTCTATCTCGCCTTCGGCCTCAACGCCCTCCTCCTCCTCCTCCTCCTCCTCCTCGCCCTTCACCTCCTTCCAGCGACACTCTCCCTGGCGCCCACTCTTTATTGTGCAGACGACACGTGACCTCTTCTTCTACCAGACATTCCCCTTTCATTACCTGATCAGCCTTGATCAGCAGCAGCACTCCTCAGCAGCAAAACGATCATCCCTACTGCGGCAGTACACCGCCTCCTGGCCACTGCTGCAAACACGCCTGCTCTACCAGAGTGTAGGCCAGGCGCAGTCGCCCGCAACAAACACATCGGCGACAAAGAACTCCACTGCTCGAACTGCTGTTGCTGCTGCTGCTTCACTGAATCCATCACCTAGAACTGCTGCCGGCAAGTCATCATCGCACTCTCCAGCACTGTCGCTCTCGTCACTTCAAGAAGAGGAGGAGGAACAGATCTCCGAGCAGATTTCAAAAATGTCCATCACCTCCTCGGCCTCCTCCTCAGCGGCGACTACCTCAGCTTCGGCGGCGACCACAACTGCGGTCACGCCGGCCATCTTCTCGCTGCGCACTGGCGGCTCGTCGGGCGTTGAAACGCGCCTCCTCTGCGCCCAGTCAGTCTCCGAGCTGGGCGCCTTCTCCCGAGCGCTGATTGGCGCCACACAGACGGCCATTCGCCAGCTGGGCGTCATTACCTTTCGTAAGTAGACCACCTTTGTTGTGTGAATGATATGATGTGTGATGTGATGCTACTCTTTAAACCATCTTTAGCCTGCTTAAGCGAGGTGGTCGGCGCGCCGACACCGCCTCGAGAGTCGGTCCTTCTGCTGAATTACGGCGGTTCCGGTTCTGCTGCTTCTGCCGCCGCTGCCACCGGTGAGAGCGGCGGTATCCGCGTGATGGACACGCAGACGGGCGCCCTCATTGCCGCCATTCCCTACGGGCAGCTGACTGCCACCAGCGACGACGGCCAGCGGGTCGTCTACCTCACCTATGACCACGACCAGAAGGTGGGTGTTGAAGTGTAAAGTTAGAAGGTGACATTGAACACACTGACTTTGACTGCTCTTGTTGTGTATTTGTTTGCAGTTGGCCGTCAATCTGTTGCAGAATCCAAAACCCTTTGTCTTTATCCTGCACGCCTTTCTCGCGGCGCGGGCCACTGAGCTGCTGGCGGCGTCCAATTCTTCTTCAGCTGCTGCTGCTCATAGCGCTCGAAGTGCCTAAAAGAAGTTGGTTGAGTGGTGATGTGTTCCTGTGGTAGTGATTGATTTGATTTTGGTCTTCTTCCTTTTCATCATCCCAAACCGGTGGATGCTTTCTGCAATATTTTCCCTTTGTTTAGCCCTTCCCTCCTTTCCATCCTTTGATGCCTTTCCCGATGTGTAACCCTCTTTCGTAACGTTGTTGATATGACCGTTTTTATAAAAAAAGTTTAATTTTAAAAATAACTGTACTTTAATATCTTCAGATCATAGAGTTTTCTACTTGAGACTACACATGAAATAAGCTCTGGTAAAATGCTGGGAAGGCAACATTTCAAGTATTTCAAAGAGCCTTCAGCTGAAACAGGTTTGTGGAAAACTTTATTTTAGTTTTAGAATAGGTGTATCAACACAATCATTGAGGTTGGCGGCAACTGAGAAGTTGGGTTTGAAAAATAATCAATAATAATAAAGATTTGAGATGGAAAAGAAAAAAGAGATGGAAAGTAGAATCAATTAAATGGGAGAAGAAAAAATAGAGATGATCAAACTGAACAAAATAAAGTGATTCACACGAGTTTTGTCTTTGCATAGGTCGATGTGTATGTTTGCGGCGGTGGGGTTGTTGAAAAATTAGGCCGTTTCAGTTATAGATAGAGAGCTTTGCGAAAAGAAGATCAATAATAAAGTTGTCTTGACAAAAGGGAAGGGAACGTAATAATAAATAAACTGAACCACTGAAGGGAATGTGTGTAAGGGAAGGTAAAGGTTTGCTAGAAAAAAAGAGAGGGAAAAAATGAAATCCACCAAAGGGAAAAAAGGGTTGTGGTGGTGGTGATGTATAGCAGCTCGAGAAAGAAAAAGATGTTGAGATAGCATTTTGAACCGGGTTTTAGCTGTCTTGCTTGCCATTAAGTAGAGCGCAGGTCTGAGAGTGATGGCGAGTGATGGTTGAGGATGGTAGAAGTAGAAAAGGCCAGGGGGCGAAACAAAGGAAGAAGAAAGGGAGAGAACAAAAAAAGTCACTAAAAAAGGCTACCGAAAAAGTGTGATCCGCGGTTATGGACAATCATCAATGTGTGTGTGTTTGTACTTCGGGTGAGAGTGAACCAGCGCGCCAGTGTCTTGTTTGGCCACCACTCTTCTTTACGCGCTTCAGCTCACCATTCACTATTTCACCCCTTCGTCTTCAGCGTCTAAACTGGCGACCATTGCCTCCGCCGCCGCCGCCACCGACTCCACCATTAATCTGCACGCTCCACCACTGAAGCAGACCCTCCTTGAAGGGCTGGTAGTAGTCGCGTCTGAAGATGACCATTTCAGGGAGGCGGCGGACGGTCTCAAGGGCGGCCACGTCCGTCTCCAGCACGAGCACGAGAAGGCACGTCAGCGTGAAGAGGATGATAAGGGCACTTAACACTGAAGTGGCCAGCACCGCCAGCATACGCTTTCCGCAGGACATCTTGGCGGTGGTAGCCGACGACGACGCCGATGATGACTTTTTCGACTCTGCATTTGCACTCTTGTTACTGCTGTTGGCGGCGTTGTTTCGGTTGCTGCCGGTGAAGAGCTTGCCGCCGCCATTGCCGCTGCCGCCAATCGACTGCTGATATGTGCTGGGCGTCTGGTCGACAATTTCGCTCACCTGCTCCAGTGTCTCGTCAGAGTCGCTGGTCGCCTCGTCGTCCTCCTCAGAGTGGCGGTGGTGGTGGTGCTGCTGGCCGCCATGATGACCACCGCCGCCGCGAGAGAGCTGCGAGGGCGACGAGCGGACGACGGGCGTCTCAAAGGAGATGGTGCCCGCATTGGGCGGCTCCTCGCCGGTGGGCGTCAGGTCGGGCCTGAGGTCAAACTCGGTGGGCAGGTTGGAGCCGGTGCCGCCGCCCGCCGCGGAGGCCTCCCACTCCTCCTCGTCAAACTTGTCGAGCACTATGGTCTGTGTGTTGCCGCCGTAGTGATTGTAGCCGCCACCGCCACGACTGTTTGACTGCTCCGAAAAGGAGTAATTGTGCTGGAGGGCGGGCAGCGACTCTGAGCCGACTTCCATCATCATCATCTGGTGGTGGTGGTTTTNTCAAACTTGTCGAGCACTATGGTCTGTGTGTTGCCGCCGTAGTGATTGTAGCCGCCACCGCCACGACTGTTTGACTGCTCCGAAGAGGAGTAATTGTGCTGGAGGGCGGGCAGCGACTCTGAGCCGACTTCCATCATCATCATCTGGTGGTGGTGGTTTTGGCTGTTGTTGTTATTGGCGCCCGACATGGCGTGATGAGGCTCCGAGACGGTGGAGTAGTTCAGGTAAGGGTCTGATGATGTAAAGAAGAAGATGGTGGTTGGTGATTAGACTTAAATGGCGCTTACACACCAAACAACAAATGCTTACTCTTGTCCTGGTAGATGCTCGAGTTAAAGTCGGGCGACTCATTGTTGGGCAGTGGGGCGGTGTTCGAGCGGCCAATGGAGCGCATCGACAGTGGCACGTTAGAGTTGATCGAGTGGCGGCGGTTGATCGTCGAGACGCTGCCGGCGGCGGATGAACCACCGGAAGCGTTCACCTTCTTCATGTCCTCTATAATCTCCCGTTCCACACGTCCACTTCAGATTAAAAAAGGTTTAGAGTTAAAGTTAGACAAAATGGCAACAGTTTGCAAGATGATCAGCTCCTCATTACCTGTATCGAAGTTTGCACTGCTTGGCAAAGAGGAAGCCCGTGCCGCCGGTGGTGACGCTGGGAATCTCCAGCGAGGAGTTCATCGTGAAGAAGTAGCGCTGCTCGACGGCACATCGCCACAGGTTGGTGCAGGCGGCGGCGTTGTTGCAGCGAAAGCCGATGAGGTTTTTCTTCTGAAAATGCAAATGAAAGTATAAATTGAGCAAACGGGTTTTAAAAGCTCGACAAGTCATACCCCATTGGCCAGGTAGTGGACGATGAACATCTTTCCCTCGTAGGTAATCTTCTGCAGCTCATTCCTTGCGGAAAAAAGTGTGTTAAGAATAGACGAAAACTAAAACAAAATGATACCATTTAAAGTGGTAAACCTTGCGGTTGCTCTGAAAGGCCAGAATGCCTGAGTAGTTAATGCCAATGAAAAGGGCATTCTTCTGCTGGTCCTTCACCTGGTGCGGGTCAATGCCGTAGGTCTCCAGCTTGGAGGCGCGCTCCAGAAAGTGCAACTCCGCCTCGGCCGGCGTCTGGTTGCGCAGCTCATTCTGGTGAATCTCTATGGCCTCCATCTCGATCTTCTCATTCTGGCTGGGAATCAGCTTCAGGTCGGCGATGTAGTTGCCCTTGTGCTCCTCCGGGTCGTAGTCGCCCAGTTCAGCTGTGTGGAGGGAGAGGGAGAACGGTTGATTAGATGATGTAAAAAGAACAAAAACTATCACCACCACTTACACTGAATGACGCAGGCAATCAGGTAGGTGGCATCGGCGGGCAGGCAGTAGAGCCGTCGGTTGAGAAGGTCTCGACGAAGCTGCAGGTAGAGATAGTAACGGGAGATCTCCTCCTTCAGCTGATGCGGATCTGCGGGATAGAACTTGACGCGAAAGCAGAAGATGATCGGATTCAGGCTCTTCACCTGCTTCACAATCGAACGCGTCGGATCGAGCCAGTACTGAAAGCCAGTGGTTGTTGTCAACAGCAGCAGCAGAAATGTAAATAGGGACAACAACAACAATAACAAAAACAATAACCGTAACAACAACAAATTAGAACCAGCAGGTATATTATATAGCACCGAGATAATCGCTACTTGATGATCGGCACACACCGCACTTACTCGAGTTTGGACGTTGCCCTCGTCCACGTAGCGCAGGCCAAAGTAGTCCTTCTCCAGCAGGTTCAACGACTTGAAGACGTAATCAAGTAGATACTGGCCCTTGTGTTCGCGCTAAAAAAAGATGGAAGTAAAAGTACGAAGTTAGATATCATTAGCTGTCGAACACAGGTAATTTCGAAATAAGAGAAAGCGAACTTTTACCTGAAAAGTAGTGTGCAGCACATCGTCATCGTCTAGCAGGCGGATGGCGCACTTGAGCTCCTGACTGGTCAGATCCTTCTTGGAGCCGCCGAATCGGGAAAGTAGCTTGGACATGGCGGTGGTGGTGATAATTGATGGTGATTGTAGAAAAGATGATAGCAGTGGTGGTGGCGGCTGATAAACTCGGTGATTGGCGGCACTACCGGCGACAGTCAAAGCCAAGTGCTACTACAAGGCGATGGTAAACAAACAACAACTCGACGCTGTCATCATCAGCGCGATGATAAGCCACAGACAGAGCGTTGTTGTCGGTGACAGCGCTGACAAGTGTGTGTTTACTTTTGCTTGTCAGCGGCGACGGCGGTGACGAGGACGACGGGCAGGGTTTCTGCTAGGCTCCCAACAACCACTACTGCACTGAAAAGAGAAGACCACAGCCCTAGCAGGGCCCTCTCCAGGCAGGCATAGTCTTCAGACGATGGGCTAGGGAAGAAGAGGAGCGAGCAAAAGGGAACAGTCTTCTACTTTTCTTTAGAGAGTGCTGGAAAACAACAAACAAAAATGGAGGCGGCCGCCGCCAGAGAGAGAGACTGGGGGAAGGATTGCTGAAGGCTGCCTTTGCCAGTGCTGCTGCTGCTTCGCCCACCACCTGCGATGCTTCTGTCTGTCAGTTTCTATTTCTCTGCGTTCTCTCTTTCCCTCTCTCACTTACTCACTCGCCCATTCTCCTCTTTCCAGTTCTATTTCTCGCGCACATTCCTCTCGCTCGCTCGCCCCGAGTTCTTCTACCTGATTGGTGGTTGACACCTCCTTCCCCTAGGCGACACCAGATGGCAGATGCTGCAACGCTGCTGGCCAATTTGTCTTCACGACGACGACGACGACGAATATTTTCGCGCAAGAATCTGTCTCCTCTCGCTAGGCCCGCGCTGGAAAGGTAAGTGCTGGAGACCGGTTCTCTCTTCTCTTGTCTGTTGTTCTCTCCTTTGCTGCCATTCTTTGAGTAGCCTTTCTCCTCGCTGTCACCGTCTCTCTGTTTCTTTTGCTTTGTTGTGACAAGTTTGTGATGTGATAAGATAGCTGCGGCTGCTATCAACTTGCCCAAAATCAATCATGGTCAAATCTTCGTCCTCCTCATCAGGACCACGCATCATCAGCGGCGAGGTGCAGACATTTCGGCACTCTACCTCGCTTCGCTGTTCAGTGCACCTCAACTGGAAGCTTTTGCTTCTGCTGTTGCTGGTCTTCCTCGCTCTATCTATCTTTTTCAAATGCTTCTACAACGACAATTCTCTTGAAGAGGAGGAAAAAGATGCTTTTTTTAGAGAAGATGTGGATCACAAGCTTGGAGGCCTCTTTAGCGCCAACTTTGTTTCCGACAAAAAATCCACCACCAACTTCAGCCACTTTGACCCACTGAAGATTCCCTTTCCCTTGCCGAAGATTGCCGAGCGACCTGACGCCGCCTGTCACTGGCACCTCGCCTACCTGCAAAATCTGACCTCGCTCGTTTGGAACTCAAATCTGAAGAGCAAACTCAAACAACCCGAGCTGATCACCTTGCTCACCAGTCTGAGCACCCTGAGGACTATGAACTTGAACGCTGAATTCAACACCACATTGATGCTGCTCTCCACAACACTCTCCAGCAGCCTCTCCAAACTGGAGTCGATGACCCTGTCTGCGGCCGTCACCCGGGTTCTCGCCCCTTTGCTCTCCAATTACGCCTTAGCTGAACGATCAAGCAATCAGAACAACAGCAGCACCGATCAAGCCAGATGGTTCAAGGACCAAGCAAAGACTGTGGGCACCGCCATTCACAGCCTCTCCAAGCAGCTGTTCAGCCTGCCGAAGCGAACCCTTTCCCGGCGGCCCCAGCCAGCCAGCGTCAACTACCGCCTCGGCGAAGTGATCCACCTGCTGGAGTTCCTTTACTACGATGCGGTGATGGGAAGTGAGGGCAAAGAAAATAGCGGATACAGCGAAGAAATGAAGGACACGCTGATGCGTCTGACGAGAATCCATCGCGGCAACCACAGCCACAACAACAATTTGACTGATCATCAGAACTTTAAAAACAGCCTGTACATGAGCACCCTCAACCAGAGCGGCTGGACGAGCAACTGCTCCTCGCTCTTTGGCCCCTCTGCCCCCTTCTACTGGACGCTGATCAATGTTCACTGTCTGCTTTACAGTCCGTTTCAAAGCCAATGGGGAACCCCGCCCGTTTCTACCTCTCAGGACCACCTCATCTACCTGCAGCTCTTCACCAGCGCCATCGATGACGCCCTGGCCGCCCGCCTCATTACCACCAACGTCGATGGGTGGACGTATGCGCAGTCAATTGACTTTGCTGCACACAACAACGGAACCCTGGACGGGCAGATGGACAGCAGCGCCTGCGGCCTGGGTGGCCTCCTCGCGCTGGGCGCCTGGGCACTAAATCGAACTATTCCCACCACCACTGAAAACCAAAACAAATCGGCGCAGTATCTAAGCCTGGCGGTGAACCTCACTGAGACCTGTCATGAGCTGACGCAGCGATCGATGGTCGGTAGCTCACCAACAAGCGGACTGCTTCCTGACCGGGCGCTCTTCCTTCCCGATGGCTCCATTCAGCTGGCACAGACGGCCACCCATCTGCAGTAAGTCAAAATTTGCTAAAGTTCATCTGTGGTACACATTAGTTAACTGTCTTTCTCTCTCCCGCCCAGCGCTGACCTGGCCAAGAGCTACCTCCTCCTGCACCGAGTGACCGGCGACGTTCGCTACCGGCGCTACGCCTGGCAGCTGACTCGGGCCCTCGTCGGAAGTCCTCAAAGGGTCCTCAATGCTTTAAAAGGAGAGCACATTGCCACGACTCTGCGCTACCTCCACCTGACACTGAGCAGCAGTGAGACGCTGGCCCTGGGCTTTTACGTGCTCAACGAGGTCGGACAGCCGCTGCCGGTGCTTATCAGGTAGAGAGTAGCAGCAGTGGACCGCTGTATCAGCGATGGGAGAAACTGTTTCATCGGTGAGGAGAGGTGGCAGCAGTCACTTCAGCGACTAGAGCAAATGTTTTTCGAATTTGCTGACGACTTCAGCCACTCTCACAAAGAGCGCGTCAACGCGCCATTTGTCTCCTCTCTCTCTCCCTTTTCAAAATTAGTTTTGTCTACCGCAGCAGCAAAAAGGTTTCCACCACCATTTTGTGTCTTCTCATTTTGTTCCACCAGTCTGTTTTGACCAAACAATTCTCCACTATATACCACCGCCATGTTCACTTGGTGGCCTTCACTTGACACACACACACTGGTGCAGGCAGTTTGCTTTCAGCCTGGAGTGCACCTTGTTCGCTCTTTTATTTCGCC